CAGAATATTTAAGAGATTTTTAAAATGAAAGTGCTACTTAGTTAGCATGAAAGCTTTTTCTAACCAGAATTCTGTGAGGAAAAGTGAGCCCAGTGCATGCGAGGGTCTGTAGGCAGTGCTGAAATTGCTCCTTATGCTTCCACATACTGTCCTCACAGCCGTGACGTGTGTCCTGACACATCAGCCCCCTTGCACATGCGTAGACATTCTGTGTGGCACGAGCCTGGCACTACCCAGGGGCACCAAACCCATTGCACACACTGTGCACTACTTCACCCATGTGTGCAGAGCAAGCTGCTGACAAGGGTCACGACCGCTGCTCCAAGCAAGCTATGAGAAACTGGGGACATGAAGCAGGTGATCTTCAGAGCCTTCCTGAACTACCTGCAGGGGGTCTATTTGGAAAGATCAAAGCAAATGAAAGCTATACAAAAATGTGGGCAAACTGGAGAATTTCCTCACAGCTAGCCTCAGGGGGCTTATATGGGAACTTGGTGGTTGGGGGCGGCGGGAAAGAATTCATTTGTGCAGCTTTCCTGCTTGGCCTTGCTACCAGCAGAAAGTTCAAACACACTAAGGGAGATGTTAAATTTGTTGTACTCACTTTTTAGTAACTTGTCTTCACATCCTTGCAACACATGAGTTGTTAGTTAATGGCTCTGTGCTTGCAGGAACATCGTTTTGTGTGTCATTTCACAGAACTCAGCTAGCTGGATCTATTTTGGAAAAATTTAAAGCTACCTGAGGGAGAAGTCTGCTCCTGCAAGATGTGGAGGCTCTGCCAGCGCGGCCTCACCAGCGGCCCTGCAGGAAGGGCACCCTCGGTTGGGGGCTGCAGGGCATCCTGCCCTTCGTGAGGGTTTCTCAGCTTTGACTTCTAAGCAAAAGGAGCTGTCTCAAGCAAGACACAGCGTCCTCTTGCTCAGTTCTCTCCTCGTGAGCCAGACAGGGTGGCAGCGCAGGTTTTTCAGCCTCCTTATTCAGCTGCAGGATGGCTGGTGTGCCGGTGTCTAGTGGAATCCAGTTCAGGTGTTTGCTCCACCCTCACCGCCTGTTTTCACCGTGCAGGTGACACCCGGAGAGCGGCTTTCCCCGCCCCGGGCCCTGCCAGGGGAGGAGGCCGGCCTGGGCCTCGGCGGGCCCTGGCTCTCACTGGGCCTGGCTCGCGCTCGCAGCCATCTCCCTGCGCAGGGCTGGGCAGCGCGCAGGGCGATGGCCCCGCTGCTCAGGTGTTTGCTCCACCCTCACCGCCTGTTTTCACCGTGCAGGTGACACCCGGAGAGCGGCTTTCCCCGCCCCGGGCCCTGCCAGGGGAGGAGGCCGGCCTGGGCCTCGGCGGGCCCTGGCTCTCACTGGGCCTGGCTCGCGCTCGCAGCCATCTCCCTGCGCAGGGCTGGGCAGCGCGCAGGGCGATGGCCCCGCTGCTGCGGAGGAAGCCGCGTCCCTCCCGCACATGCAGCTTTTTTCCCGGCAGGTGCCGGGCGGCAGCGCCCTCGCGGCGCCGGCTCTCGGTCTGGCTGCGTGGCCATGTCTCCACGTGCTGCCCCCCGGGCCCCTCTCCCGACGGCCCCCCGCACCATGTCCCGGCAGGGCCTGTCCCGCCTCACCGGGGCCATGGGACAGGCAGCCCCGTCGGCTCTATGTTTGCTTTCCCCCTGTGGCCAGTGGCCCAGGAAAAAGGGTAAGGAATACTTTACTTTTTCATCACACTTGTTTCTTCACTGATAATTTTCATGCTTATTCATTAATATATTTACCGCCACAAATCCATTGGAAACATAAGTGCCCCTCCTTCCTCCACCTATTGTAAGAACCACTCACTCCTCCCGCTTCCCCCTTTGGTTCCTGATTTAGCTTTCCAGCCATAAATTCTGGGGAAAAGGAAGAGTGTTGTGTGTCAGTGCTGCTGCACATCTATGCTCTCCGCACAGGCCTTCTCGGGCACTTGGTGATGGTGGCTCTCAGGTGTGCCCGCGGCTAGGCAGGTGCTGGAGCTGACCCCAGGCCCATTCTCCAGTTCTTTCCTTGCTTGCTCACCTCGTCTTATGATCAGCCAGCTTGTGCAGAAAGCTCTGATGAGGACTTGTATGAAATCTTTTTTGTTGGTTTTGTTGTTATAAAAGTCAAACATACAATATAAATGAGATGACTCTTAACTATGTAGTCTTCAATTTCTTCAAGGCATAGTGAGAACTTCACAGGACATGGTTTCCCTGTACAAGAGCTCTGCTGACTGCCCTGCAGTAGTCTGTTCTGCTGCTTTTCAGCCTAAAAAGTTGTCTTGCATCCAGACTGCACGTCAGGGAGCGCTTTGTGTACAAGTTTGAATACACATGTACTATCATGTACTATGAATCCATGCGCTTCTTTCACATAAAACCTCCAGAGAAGTAACACTTGAGATCTGCAGTACGCGGTCATCCTGCACCTGAGTCTCACTTAAGAAAACTAGCAAAAATTTCTTTTCTCCTTGCAGTCATCTTTCTCCCCCTCCCTGCCCACAGCTATGGGTCTTTTGATGCCTGCTTGCCCCAGGCACCTCCATTACCCCCTCTCATGCCCCTAGTTACCTTTTGAATCCTTGTAAAATTTTAATGTCTAAAGCACCCTGTAGTAAGGAGTTCTGCAGTGTAAGTTCAATTGAGAAAAAGTATCTCCTGATATTCAATTTGAATCTACTACCTGCTAGTTTCATTTGGTGGCCTTTTAGTTCTTGTACTGCAGCAGAAAGTGGACAATGATTCTTTGGCCATGTTTAATAGACTTCTTCAGCTTAGGGAGTCATAGTTCAGATATATAGTAGTCCTTTTGAAATGTGAGGAACCGGACTTTCATATCCACAACATGTTCAGTTTGTGAGTTCTGCCTGAATTTATGTAGCGGCATAAGTTTCTCCATTCCTTACCTAATAATGCTTAGCATTAGCTGATATTTTTCCTTTAAAATGTTCATTCCTTCTTGATTTATAATAGTATCAATATAATTATATTAATATAATATAAAATTAAGGCTGTTTTTGATCATTTTACTTTTATCAGCAGTAAAATCCATTTTACTGCCATTTTTATTGCCCAGTTGGTATTATAAAGTTCTTCTGCTTCTTTTCCTCTCCCTGCTTTTTTTGTGCAGTTGGTTCTCACTTTTAGTGTTCCGAGCAAGCTAGAATTATGAGTAATTCACCACTATCATGACTATTCATCCCGTATCTGAGTATGTTGAACCACACAGGTTCCAGCACAAGCTGTGGGACTCCATGGGGCATGGTAACAACTACATTACGCATGAAATTCTGGTGAGGTATTCTGCTAAGAGCTTTGTACTTGTAAAGCACAGAAAATAAGCTGAGAAAAAAAAAAGAAAAGAAAAGAAAAAAAGGAGGTTGCTGTTACATAAAGTATGAATGATCTTATTACTTTTTTTTTCTGTAATATCATTCAGGAAGAATGTTAAACTAGGAAAAGGTCTCAGAAAATATCCAAGAATGACTTGGACAAGGCAGCATTTCCTGAAAATGGAAGGCTAGAGACACTTCCAAAACAGTTAAGAACAGTACAAAGATGACTTGAGCACACCAAAAACGAAGGTACAGAATGGACTGCTTTTTTCCTAAGACAAAAAGAATGAGAATTAGCAGTGGGAGGACAAAGCTAGGTAATTTGGACTACAAATAAGAAACATACAAAAACTGCAGAGACAATTATCCATTGCAGCACTTCCCACAGGGACCTGTTGGATTCAGCTGCTATATTCATATTAAGGCCATGTTTTTCTCTGTTGTCTGATGCCGCTCTAACTTGTGATATTCTGTGGCCTGTGTTAGGCAGATAATCAGATAGGGAAGTCCACTAGGCTTCACCTCCAAACTACTTTGGCTTTATTTTCAAAGTGATTAATGACAGCAACAGTATAGACCTGCAGTGTCTTTCTTTCTTACCACATCCTTTGCAATCCCTCTTATTTTGGAAGCAGAAGTCTCCTCTGCGTTGGATGACAAGGACAGTTAACAGCCACTTCCGTCCACTGTACTGAGCCTCTATTGAGGGAATTTTGCATTAATGGTGATGAGAGCATGCCATGCTCATTTTTGATTATAAGGAGGCCTGTGCTGGAATGTCAGTGATGGGGCCTTAGGAAAAGTGTGTTAGAGCATTGATATTAATTGAGGGCCAGGAGCCCAAGAGCTTTGAAACATTTCACAGGTCAGATGGATATTAGTACGTGACACGTTGTGTCATGTGCCATGACAAGCTTTTCTTCCCAAAAATGTGGTTAAAATCATTTTTGTCTTTAGTCTTAAACTACAAATATGTAGCCTTAAAATATTAAATATAATGCCCTTCACTACAGATTTTTTTCTAACTAGTCAGGGAAACTGAAGGAGCAATCATGACCCTTGTCTTTAAACTTCCAGGGATTAAACTTCCTGAGAGGAGTTTTGCCCTTATGTGTCTTACAGCAGCAAGATACTTTATACTTGCTGGCATTCCAGCCTTACCCTTGCTCCTCTTCATATACTGGGGTGATTATTAACACTCAGCTTTTTAAGAATTCTGGAGATGCATTTGTACATATGCATGTGCTTTCTGGTTTTCTCCTGTGTTACACTTATATATCATGTAGAAAAGAGTTTTAATGCAGTCCAGCTATAACCCGCAGTATTACACTTCATTAAAAAATACACCTTTCCAACAAAAAAAAAAAAAAAAAAAGAGCTTGGCTATCTGTGGCCTAAAACAGAAAGCTGAACATTCTGTTAAATGCATCATCCTCATTCATCACTGTATTGCCTAATTTGAGTTATTCCTTATTTTGCCTGAAAACACTTCACTATGTTAGTGCTTCATGATTCTTTCTAACGTTACTCTGCACTCATTGGCTTTCTTCCCTTTCACGTTGCCGTCATGACCCCAGCCATCACGAATGAGGAGGAGGGTGCTGTCCCTGCACTGGGGCTGCAGCCCTGATTGCTGCTGTTGTCTTTTCCAGCTCTCCCGTGCCTCATGGCTCGTCGGTCTCAAAGCTCCTCGCAGGGGGATAACCCCCTCGACCCTAACTACCTGCCGCCGCACTACAAGGAGTATTACCGCTTGGCTCTGGACGTGCTGACTGAAGAGGGCAAGGAAAGCTACCAACGCTTCCTGGCAGAGGAGGCAGCCCCTGATTTTCTTTGCAGCTCAGAGGTGGATCACATCATACAAAACCTCCAGAAACCCCAATATGCCAACCAGGAAAGTAACACAGACACCCCAGGTGACAATGACATGGATGGATCCTCTGGGACATACTGGCCTATGAACTCAGACCTTGCTGTTCCTGAGCTTGACCTGGGCTGGCCAATGGTCTTTGGATTCAGAGGGACGGAAGTCACAACCCTTGTGCAACCACCGCCCCCAGACAACCCAAGCATTAAGGAGGAGGCTCGCAGAATGATCCGAGCAGCGCAGCAGGTGAGATAGCGAGAAGCAAACTAGATCAGAGATAAAGATGTGTTTGTGTGCGAGAGTGGCATCAGGATGTACCCAGCCCTCTGCTAATTCCCATAGCTGCTCCTGTGACCTGAGGGCAAGGAAGTATGCTTAAGTTACCCTTTACAGCATCAAAGCTAGCCTCTGCTGTCTAAACCAATACAGAATTGTGGAAGGCAATGCTAAAATATACAAAGAGGTCCCAGAATAGTTGAGGCTGGGTGGGATGGTTGGATCTCTTCCTGGAGATCGTCTAGTCTGCTCAAAGCAGAATCAGCTATAGCAGGTTAATAAGGGTCTGTCCTTAAATATCTCCAAAGCTGAAGATGCCACAACCTTTCTAGCAACCTGGTCCAGTTTTGATAATCCTTACAAGTATTTTTTTTTAATTATTTTTAAGTGGAATTTCTTGCATGTCAGTTTGTGCCCATTGCCTCTTGCCCTTTCACTGGGTACCACTGGGAGGAATTTGATTCCGTCTTCTTTACTCCCTGTTGTAAAAGATACTTATATGCATTGACAAAAGAAGTTTGGAAGGTCATGGAAATCCTGGAAAGGTTTGAAGCTACCTTCCGTTTAACAGCACATAGACATAGCTATATAGTGGCTGGGTGACGTAGCTGTATACTGGCCAGGAAGTTAGCCAAAATGGCATGCATGTGTCAGAGGGTGTGGGCCTGTAGCAGCCACGTATCTCCAACAACCTCCCTGTGTGGTTCTGTGACCAAGAAATGCCTGCTCTGATTATCAGATTAATTAACAAGGGGACATTCAGTAGCAGTGAGGATTTTCCTTCACTTGTCACCCTCATCTGCGGAATATGTACGTAAGACAGGAATTCTGTTTCCATTCTGGAACCCACAATGTTAAAAAAGAAAAAAGACCCCAGGCCCTAAACTGAAAGGCAGCGCAGCAGTTCAGCTGTGGAAGGTAAAGTGGGGGGAACATGCACAGCGAGGGCATGAGCCAGCCAGACCTGTGATGTCCTTGCGTTCCTTCTCTAGGTGGTAGCCATAGTGATGGACATCTTCACTGACGTGGATTTGCTGTTCGAGGTGTTGGATGCTGCTGCTCGCAGAGTCCCTGTGTACATCCTGCTGGATGAAATGAACTCTCAGCTTTTCCTTGATACAGCTGCTAAATGCAGAGTCAATCTGAACTACGTGGAGGTGAGCAAACAGAAGACCTCCTCTATCCTTCCTATCCTTAGAGGGCTGTGGCTTGGGACAGAGTGCTGCCATTAGAGTAAAAACCTAGAGTGAAAAAGGGAAAGCTGGGGTGAAACCTAGAAGGACGGGAGGAGGGAAGCTAGGAGAGCTGGCACCACAATATAGTGGTGAAGGCTGAAGACCTGCAACGTAGGTGTTCGGTAGGCAGGCAGAATAGCTAGTGCTGATAAGTAAAAATGGGAGGCAGGTAGGGAAAATAAAGGAGCAAGGGAAAGAACTAGGGGCAGGAAAAGGGAAATAACAGCTTCCAGTTAAGTCAGCGTCTTATCTGGTTTGCAGTTCCTAAGGGTGAGGACAGTTTCTGGCCCAACGTACTACTGTCGCACAGGGATGTCCTTCAAAGGCCACGTGAAGGAGAAGTTCCTCTTGGTGGACTGCATGGTGGTGCTGAGTGGCAACTACAGGTGAGCAGCTCTGCAACTTCACATTTCCATGTTTCAGTGAGAGAGGCTGGTTGCTGGGTAAAGCAGTGTGTCACATTTCCACATGAACATTAGTGGCAGGGTTCTTTTCACTGAAGGATACTGAACAGAAATTTTGCAACTGAGATTGACACACCAATTGAACCTGAAGCCCAAAATACTCAAAGCTGAGCTTATTTAACATCAAAGGTATAAAGGATCTGTATAAAAGATACAATAATTATAATGCATTTTAAAATCAAGTGCAATGCTGAACAGTAGCATTGACAAGGGTAGCAAGTCCAAAAAAACATACATGCAGACTGGCACTGGTTATGTGACTCGATATATTTTGGGAAATTTTTAAACCTAACTCAAAAGTGTCACCAATCTTGCCTAATAATAAATGAACTCTAACCCAACCACTTATTCCAAAGAAAAATAGTGAAAAAAGAGACTGAGGATTAGGCACTTCCATTTCAAGAACTAGTTACTAATATGGAATTAGTAATTAGCACTAATATGGAAGTACTCATGTCTTATTAATGAATATGCCATATCCCTGTTAAGCCTAGTATACCAACCAAGAGCTCTTCATAACCAAAATTCACACTAAAGATACTCTGTCAAAATCCTTCTCCCAGACTCCATTAAAAAAAAAACTCCAAGAAAATGCATTTGAAGCTTATGTTTTCAGTGTTTTATTCACCTGCAGAGTGAAAAATAAAACAAATGAAAGAGCAACAGAAAAAAATAGATGCTGCGGGTTGGTATTATGTGAGCTATTTTCATAAATTAAGTTTTGCTTTATTCTTTATTTCCATTTAAACATCATATCTTTATATCTTTAGTCTTCTTTATGGGTCTCAAAGTCTTAGCAGAGGCAGTCTGAATCTATATTCATGCATTCATGTAACTGACCTGCAATTTTGGTAATCCACACATGGATAATTGAGATTTAACTGCAAAGGAATGTTAAAATAATCTCTTTGAGGAAGCAGGTATACTGCACAGGATCGTGCCCACAAAAACTAATTAAAGAAAATTAGGTCAATTTAGCCAGAAATACTAGTTTAAATTGAAGATGCTTAAATGGCATTAAAGGCTTCTGTTAACAATTATATCCAAAATTAAAATGGCTTCAATTTATTTCTGAAGCAAATTAAACTATGTGTTAAAAAAATGCATCTTGATTTAATTAGCCTTTTTCAAATGATCAAGTAGATTATTTTTTCATCATGTAGATCTGGAAAAATGGAGCTAGGCACCTGATCATTTAGATTCATGTTGTTCTGCATGACTCTGGATGAGGATACCGTGAAAATCATGGAACCATAAAGTCATTCAGCTTTGAAGGTACCTCTGGAGGTCACTGAGTGCCAACCTTTCCCTGTTCCAAGTTCCAAATCATATCAGGTTGCTCAGGTCCTTACCCAGGGGGGCTGTGAATGCCTCCAGAGATGGAGACTCCACAGCCTACTCCAACGTTTGATTGTCCTCATTGTGAAGGATTCTTTTTCTTTACAGTTCACACAGTCCTGTGCCATGTGCTCTAGGTGACCCTGAGTGTGCAGCAGAGTTGGACTAGATGACCTGTAGAGGCCCCTTCCAACTTTAAGCATTCTATGATTCTGTGATATCTCTTGACACAACTGTATCTGCTGCCTTGTATTATTCTACTGTGTACCTCCAAGAACAGTCTGGCTCCATTTTACCACCCTTTAAGTTTTGGAGGACAACAACGAGCTCAGTGCTCCCCTCTCACCTCCCTTAGCATTCTTCTCTTCAGCTCTTTCGGCTTCTCCTGACACCTTATACACTTCAACCTGTTAACCATTGTGGTGGCTCTCTGCTGAACTTGCTCAAGTTTCTCAATGGATTTCTCATATCAGGGAGCTTAAAAGTAGACTCATTCTCTAGCTGCAGTGTCAGAAGTGCTGACTGGAGGAGAATAATCACCTCCATTCACCCTTTGGCTAGACCACATCTGTATATAGTTGGTCTTCACGGCTGCTCTTTCCTTAGCACGTAACGAGTCATTTTCTGCCAAGCTGTTTTCTCCTTGTCCTCAGCCTATACTGGTGCATGGGCTATTCGATCGCAGGTGTGGGATTCTACATTTGCTTTTGCTGAACTTGGCGCAGTTCTCACCAGCCCGTTCCTCCAGCCTGTTGAGATTCCTCTGACCGTGAGCCGTGCTCTCCAGCATGTCAGCCGTGCCGCCCCCCACCCCTACCCCAGCTCCCATGCTGCTGTCATCTGCGAGCTTGCTGAGGGTGCATGTCCCCCCACACTCTGTCCAGGTCAGTAATAATGATCTTAAACAGTCTTGCCCACAGTCCTGACCCCTGACGAGCAGTACCCAGACTCCTGGCTGCTGTGGTTTGACCCTGACAGCTGAGCCCGTTTTCCCTTTACAGCGCTGTAGTGCTCTGATTTAGCTTCTGTAGAAAGGCCACGTGGAAATCGTGCTAAAATCAAGGGAAACAACATCCACCATTCTACCCTTGTCCACAGAGCCACCTATCTCACTGTAGAAGGCAATCACATTGGGTCAGGCACAATTCACCTTGGTTAAATCCCTGCTAACAGTTCCCAATTGCCCTTGTGTCCTTCTTGTGCTTGGAAATGGCTTCCAGGATGATATGCTCCGTAATCTTCCCTGGGACTGAGGTAAGGTGGACTGGCTGTAGTTCCCTACTTGTTTCTTTTTGCCCTGCTTGAAGGGAGGCATGGCAACACAAACCAACTGCAGGAAGGTTTACTCTGCATGAATCATCCTTGGGTTCAAGTCTTTCTGCTGCTGTTAATACTGACTGACCTATTCAGAACATGGGTCATTTATTACTCTGTAAAATCCTCCACAAAGCAATGATGTCCAATAAATTCTTGAGGATAAGGCTTGGGAACACCAGTGTGTAATGAATAGCTGCCTGAGTAGCACATAATGTCAGGAGAAATTTTACTCAGACAAACAAATGGTTTAATGTGAACTGGATTACTTGATGACAGCACTATCATTGCTTCTGTTTTGCTTTGTAGTTTTATGTGGTCTTTTGAGAAGATTCACAGAAGCATTGCACACATCTTCCAGGGGGAACTGGTGTCCAGCTTTGATGAAGAATTCCGAATTTTGTTTGCACAGTCGGAACCTCTTGTTCCTCCAGCCAATGTCTTGGCAAAGGCAGAGAACGCATTTGCCATGGCTCCCTTTGGCAATAACATGCCTTTCTTTCCAAAGAAGTCACCCCTCATGTTCCAGAGAGAGGACAATCTTTTCCCCTCCTTTATGGACAGAGTTGATCCAGACAGGTACTTCCTGTCCAATTTCAGGCGGGACGACATGCTGCGTCATACTGTGGAGGGGTCGGCCATGCGAATGTATAAAAAGGTAGAAATGGAGAATTCCCAGCTGGATCCTGTCAGGGGCTTTCTCCGCTCCAAGCAGCTAGAGATGGATGCTTTTAAGAGACACAGTTTTGCAGAAGGAACATTTGAAAATTTTGCTTCTTCCAAACAGTATGCCAGACAGATGTTCATGAACAACATGGACGAATTTAAAATCCAGTCCAGTCACTTTCAGAAGGACCAGTTCTATCAGTACCAGTTTGAACATCCCCATGGCAGGCCTCATGGACTGTTCGATAGAATACGAGGGGGCAGGCCGGGCTTCAATGAACTGGAAGACTATGGAGAGGGACCAAGATACCCTGAACTGGAACCCAATTTTCCACAGGAGGGTTTTCCCTTGAGACTAGATTATGTGCCTTCAAATTCTTCCAGGGAAGTAAGACATGGATCTGATCAGCTGAACCCTGCAGGCAATGGACCCATGGGAATGATGCTAAGGCGGCAAAATATAGGACAGAAATTCATTTGCCAGACATCTCCTACGCAGAAGCAAAGCCTGGAACAACGCCTGTTTTTACAAGAGAAAGATGAGGACCCAGATCAAGACAAGAGTACCCAGGAACATAGAACAGGGTTACGTGACTGGAGGATTTCTTCATACCTTAGTGCCTACCAGTCTGAACCAGAAGAAGGTCTCCCAATGCCCATGGAATCGGAGGCATACAGTGATGTTCTTGGGGACACCCTCACAAAGCACTCAAGTGACCTCATTCCCATGTTCAAATCCCCTATATCATTCAATAACAAGTCACTAGGAACTGAAAGTGCTAAAGAATTTGCTGATCCTGATAGAGTAGGTGAAGAAACATCTATAATGAAACAAGATGCCTTTAGGTCCAGAATAAATCCCTTGATCCAGAGGAGCTCAAGACTCAGGTCCTCTCTGATTTTTAGTGCTGCCAAATTAGATCAGCCAAACGCAATAGAAAAGGTGCATATGATCCAAAAGGAGCAGATGTCCAGTGAGCTGACAAAAGACAATGAAACTATAAAGACAGCTGCCTCATCTAAAGTGGCAGAACTCTTAGAGAAGTACAAAGCTGTGGGCAAAGACACAGAGCGAACAACAGTCAGTCACACCAAAGCTATTTCCAGTTTCCTCCAGGAAGAGTCACAGAACACAGAGAAGAAATGTACCAAATCTGTGCAGTACAAGATCCTGGAGAGTCGGGTATTAGACTCCAAAGACTCCTGCAGTACTTACAAAATGCATGGCGAGGTTGACAGGGCATTTGGAATGGCTTCTGTAAGCCCCCAGCTTACTGACACATTGAGTAAAGACCCCCTAGCACATTTGAGCACCAAGGTGGACAAATTAACATCTCGGTTTTATCCTATAGAGAATAAACCTGCTCTTCCAGAGAAGGAGAGTCTTATATTTGTAGGGGACACTCAAAAACTAAACCTTCCAGAGAAGAAGGAAAGAGTAACATTCAAAGACGACTCTCAAAAATCAGCTAATGCAGAACTCAAGAAACCACAGATTAGAACAAGCACCACATCAGTTCTTGAAAATTTATCTAAGAGTCAAGGATCCGACAGCTCTCTCAATAAGTCTGAGGAAGAATGTTCAAAACAGGAACAGAATCCAATGGAATTTTTAAGAAAAGGGTCGTTGCGACTGAAGCAGCTATTGAACCCAAAGCTTGAAAAGAAATTGGAGGAGGAACCCACTTCTGAGAGTGGAAAATCTGACAAACAGCCTGTGGCTCTTAAACGATCTTCCATAGGGGACTGTCAGGAAATAATGGAGGAAGAAAAAAATCAAAGATTTGCAACACCGCTTCCTCCCAAAAGCAGCCAGCCGACTCAGGGGAGATTTCCCTCATCCACAGCTAATATCCTGTACAGCAGCAATCTCCGTGATGATACCAAAGTAATTCTAGAACAAATTTCTGCAAACAGTCAGAAAAACAGAGCTGAACTGGCCAAGCAACTGCCATCCACTAGCAATCCTGATCTTTCTAAGTCAACTACAAGCTTGGAAAGGAAAGGTGAGAAGGAGAAAAGCTGTAACATCCACAGATCAGAAAGTTTTGGGAGCCAGAAACGAAATCTTCAGCGGCAACCATCAGAGGATCGAGATACTCTTCTGAAAAAAATGGAAAATATGCGGAAGGAAAAGCGAGTCTACAGCAGATTTGAGGTCTTCTGCAAAAAAGATGATCATACGAGTCAAAGTGAAGAGGAATATGACACAGATGCCAAAGACAAGAAGATGGGAAAATTCATGCCCAAAATCTTGGGGACCTTCAAGACCAAAAAATGATCACAGAATACTATTTAATTCCATATCATCACTGACTGTCAAAAGAGAATGAGGAGGAAACATGTTTATGATGGATGCAAGCACCATAGGCGATACACTTCTGTGTTACTGAGTGGAAATATATTCATCATTAGCCTCCTGTGGAACAATTTGCCAAAGTCACATGGTATCAGGCAATGTTATTGCAGTATGTTTTGAATAAAAACATTAAATTGTCAAAGTGCTTAAAACAAGCAAAGTATAGTCTCTTTATCTTGTATTCAGAGAACATTTTCTGCTGGCCACACAATTCCATTATCAGTAAGGACTGAAGTGAAAACGCAAAATTCAGTACTTGGGTTTAAGCCATGAAAAAAACATGTCAGTATACGTATATTAATTGAAACTCATTTCTGAAGTGCAGATATCTCTTCTTCATACCTGGTACCAGAAGATACATCTTTGAAAGTATATATGAGAAGAAAATACTGCTCAAAAGCAGGCCCTTTTCCCTCATCTCTGGTTATGGCCTTGTCCATTAACACATGCTCAGTTTTCAATTTATTGTTTTATAAACCTACTGGGTGTGTTTTGTTACTGTTTTGTTTCCTTATCTATATTCATAAATACTATTGCTTTTGAGGGTGAGCTGAGAGAAGCAGCTGCAAGGCCATAAAAGAAAAAAATATATATGCTATGCAGAGAGGAAGAGGTGTTTCTAGGTCTGCACTTCAACTAAGCTGAGCTAGTAGGGAGTTTAATTAAGTTATATTATAATTATAATGCTGTCTTAGCCAGGCAGTAATTTACTCATGATGCAAGTCCACTTTTGGGGAGGGTTGTTTCATTTTGTTTTTGACTGGTGTTCTAGGACAGTAACAAAGTAGTTGGGAATATTGTGATGCATTAAATAAACACAGCAGTTTACTACAGTGTTGAAGAAGACTGTTTTCACACACACACATCCCTCATGACATGTGGGACTCAAAAGTGATCTGAATTCTCCTTGTGAAACTGGGTCTGTGTTCATGAAAAAAGAAGTTGATGCTACACAGGACAGACCACTGTATGCACAGTTTAAAGAGGTAAGACCAGAACTAAATGGCACAGATTTCCTAGCATGCATATATTTTCTTTGTTTCCATTTCCAATATTTTTTTTCTTTTTTTTTACATTTGAAAAGAGAAAGTTATCTCTCTTTGATATCTCTCTGAAATATGTCTAATACCTCCCATATAAAACACAGAGGAGAGTTGATACACCAAGGTCTACACCACTAAAATTACTTGCTGTATTCATAAACAAATTAGATTTACTAACAGCACTGAAAACATTTCAGTAGGGTTTGTGTCCAGATAATGCTGTATATTGTATAACACTGCCTGTCCAGCAGGTTGATTCACCAGCAATATACAAACAATGAGGGCACAAAAGTAATACCAGATATATACAGGTCAGATCCTCACACAATATACAGGAATGTCCTTTCAGCAGTGCCACACCAAGTTGAGTAACATCATTTTGGGATATCACCCAGAGTGTGTTAAATACAGAAACTCATGTAGAAATGCTCTATGCATCCTTATTTCATTTGCTTTTAGCAAAGTACAGATACAGCTATAAGTCCCAGAATGAAGTGTAATAATTAAACAGTGCTCAGTTAGTTGATACAGGTAAAGCTGATCCTACCCCAAAGAGGAAAACGGGCAATGTATTTATAGGTATATATACATACAAATACATACCAGGTCCTGAGATTATTTCTTGTCCTAGTTTCTGTAATTTATATTCACATAACTCCTTATGATTACAGCCTTCCACTATCACTCTGCAGCAGATATGCTGGAAGAGTGTTTCTATAGCCACAGACTCCATTGTACTTAAGAATTTTGTTTTATTTGTTTAGATATTTAGAATTTTTTTCTTGCTAGGTATTGTGTGCAGTGTAAAAGCATGTTCCTGACCAGAACTTGAATTACGCATCTATTTATGGTGATTTTGCTTACCAGATTTTGTAGATGTCTGCAGGTATTGCAGAATAACTAACTCACTTGGTAATAACAAAATTCTTCTTCAGAATGAAAAGTAAATGTTACAGCCCATCACTTCTCAGTCTGGGATTAGGTTCAAAGAAGATTTTAGATCTTTCACTGTATCATCAAGCTGCCAGGTCCTGGGCATTTTGTGGAAGTCTCAGCCATGCATTAAGCAGTTAAGCTCCCTTTTCAGCAAGTAGGAACCGGCCTCTTGCGCTCGCACGAGAGCCGCTGCACTGCAAAGGGGTCTGCACACAGAGAAGATTGCCCAGTCACTGGCATATACTGTATCTACCTGCACTTGTACCTGACATGCACAGGAAATGCTTCTTTTATGAAAATGCCAGAATAAACCAGGACCTTCCTGTGAGCTGCCTTCTTAGGTCCCTAATATTATCAGACTTACATGATTACACCTGATGCCGGAAATGAACGCACTGCTACTTAGTTCACTATCAGTCCTTGGTGTTTATGTTCTAAAAGATAAAGGAGAAATACTGTCAATGGCAGTGGTACTCACAGGTTGGAATCCAGTGCCTGAATCCTACATGTAAATATAGCTCCAAAGTTCTGCAACAAAAAGCATTATAAGGGGTAAGTAAAATTTCATGGAAACTTCTTATGAGAGCTTGGGAGATAAAAGGAGAATCTATCAAAAATCAGCATTAAAACAGGAAAATAGTTTTAAGTTTACTGTAGTCCCACTCTTACCTGCAAACAACTTCACCATGTTTCAGCAACAGCATCTCTTGGAAGAGAGGAAAAAGAAAGGAAAAAAAATATATTACTAATTGAACAAGATATCCCTGGAATTTTCTCCCATATGCACACAGCAAACATTTAATAAAAGACAAGAATTTCTGCAGTGCAATATAGAGTTTATTATTACAATACTTACAAAATACATTCATACATGGTATGTAAGGTATTAAATAGAGTAGCAGAACCCACCCACTTGATTACAATGAAGACAAGCCCCCCATCAATTCTATTAATTTATCCCAAAAGAGTCATACAGAAGTTAGTGGAAAATAAAGTGAAGGGCTTAAAAATTAAAGAGTTTAGCCTTCCTGGTTTTCAGAGAACAGTTGATAGTTGTTCTGCTCAGAAAAAAATACACCACTACACTGATGTTTAGGCAGTGCACCTGAAGCTTACAAAGAAGTGTGAATATCTCTAAAGACAGTCAAAGATCAGACAATTGCTTCAATTTTCTGCAATAACACAAATAAGGAATAAAAAATGAGAGTATTCCTTGTTCTCATGCTCTGTGAGCAAACAGTGCTGTGACCATATGTTGTAAGGCTGGAAGACAAGGGGATTAGCCTGTTGTCTTTGTTGCTTTGCTCAGAGGAAAGTGGTGTACTACTCCACGTGATGAACAAAAAGAACAAAAATATTCTCTTCAGATGGATTAACTGTCAAATGCCTCTTATATTTTCATTTGCTGTTACCAGCAGAGCCAGGGGATTGATGAGACAAGCTGTACTTCATCTGGTTAGAGCTCTTAAATATATTCACTATGCATGCTCTTGGGAAGAATTTGATATTGGAAGACTTTGCAATGCAGATTTACATATGGTTCCATAGGCCTGGGAGTAACTGCCCATTGATGCTTTCGGATCTCCAGCAGCTCCCATATTTGCAGTAATCTGGAACATCTTTTTACTGGACTTCAGAAGGGGACGGACATCTTTGCTGTGAAACTGGTCATTTCTTGGATTCTGTGCAAGAAAAAAAGCCAAAACATTTAAGGAACCCTTCAGCAGCTTTCTAAAATACAGATAAGGAACACAGGATTTGCTTGAGTTGAGAGGTAGCACAAATCATGAACATTAAATGCATAACAAAACAGGCTATTCTGTAAGATGGTGAGAATGGTGTGAAGGAAAAGGGCTTCAGAATGAATACACTGAAGGTGAGGTTAGGGACATGGGGCAAGGTATGAGGAACTAATCCTACCCTGAAGCACAGACCGAGTGGCCTTTTTGGCTAGCATCTTGTTTCCAACAGTTGTGAATACTTTAAATGTACAAAAGAGGTCATCATCATTGCCCAGGATACTCTCCAGACTTCTATCAATCTAATGGCTTGATGACTTTCCAAATCGGAAGCTGCATATAGATACTCCATTTAACAGCCCCCGGGGCACAAGTTACTAACATACTAAGGGGGTGACAGAAGGCTTGAACCTGCAGTTCAAGGAAAGATGCTTCACTGCAGCTTCTCCGTTGTGAGCCTCTATAAATTAACTGAAATACAAGAGAGTCTACTTTTACTGTGGCACTGGCCACTCTCATCGTAGTGATTATAGCAAAGTCTTTCTCGGTAAAATGGCTGTAAATAACAGCTTAATGAACCCAGTTGGACAGTGAAAATGCAGCCTGAATGCAGAGCAAGATGGAATGGAAGGGCCTTTAGAGCAGGGAACTGGTGCCTCCTTCCATCTTTTTTTCCTCTACTGTAAGCTCCCTTGATTGCCTTGTGCTGGCTGGACTCTCTTTGAGCTACATAGCAGACAACTAGCCCAGAGCAAGGGAAACAAACAAACAAACAGAAACAAAACAAAACAAAAAAAAGGAAAAAAGGAAAAGGAAGTCACTGAAGACCCCAATGAGCATAAAGATTTGTACAAGGAAGGCTGATCAGGAATGAAAAAGAGGAGAAGAGAGGAGACAAATGAAACCTCCACTGTTCAGAAACAGCAATCCAGCAGGCTGATTCCAGAGGTAACATGAATTCTCCACTGAATTCCAGAATGATCCAGTCTGAATCTAGTCAAAAAAACCCCTGCTACCTACAAACTGGACAGGACGTGCCATCATTGGAGAGAAATTAAAAGCAACAGATTTGTAATTCTGAAATTCAAAGGAAGTCTTAGGAGCTTCTGACAATCTAAACACTGCAATCATCTGAAATGATGTCTGAGTTCTCACTAGCCCACAGTGATGAAAATGAAGTGGAATGAAGCTGAAAATTGACCTATCCTCTAGAAACTGGCCGAGAAAAGGTCATACTACTTCGCATATTTCAAAAGAAGCTGTATTAAAAACTCTATGTGGGAAAAAAGTATAGGTAGAGAATGTGCAGAGACCTTTTCAGTTTCCTTACTGAGTGCATTTAGGTAATATATGAGATCCATTATAGCTAACCTTTGTAAAAAAAAAAAAGGTTACTAATGAGGTAGAGGCCTGGATTTACAAAAGGAGTCATACTCACATGATAAATATTCTGCATAACTGGAGGTAGCCGAGCATTTGCATGTGCCCATGCGACTTGTCTCCCCAGTTTCCCATTGTTGGAGTTTCTCTCCAGCTGAGGTGGTGGTGCAGAATGGTTCCTGACCACAAGACCAGAATTTCCATTACCTACAGGAAAAATAATATTTAAATAAGAGAAATGAGAACAGAACACAGATTTTAGTGACGGAGGCATGGACAGAACATAAAAACCTGAGTCGGCTCATGCCACCTTGCCTCCTCTCACAGACTTGGACTACTCAAAAAAGGAAAAAAATATTCAGAATCAAATTAGAAAGCAGAAATAAACAAAGAGTTTAAAAAGGCATGGGAAAACATAACAGCAATAGAAAAATAGCAAAGAGAAAAGAGAAAGAAACAGTCAAGACTGATGCAGCAATGAGATTAATGACAATGTCATACACAGAACTCATTCAACAGTGTCTTATTCTTCAAGTAATTTTCCTTCCACTCATCCATCCTCTCATCCTGCCATGTAAATTCCTTCTGTTAAACTCCTCTTTCCCCGTTCAATCTCCTTCCTTACTTCTCACACAATAATGCCTCATGGTGAATTACATCCCCATGTAGGAAGGTTAGACCTACTTTGAGCAACGGTGTGTGTTATGGGATTGTATATCATGTTGGTCCTTGACCTCTGACATAAAGTTCTTGCTAAATCTTCACTCTGGTTGGATACTTCTGTCTGGATGCAAGTTGTGGTTGCAGCATGCATATGTGTTTTTTTTAGAAGAGGTGATCTTGGTTCTCTCTGGCCTTTCTTGGTAGGTAAAGTCACAGAATGAGAATTTGGAAGAAGTGGCCTGGATTGAGACTGACTTTGCTGAATTGTTTCTCTTGCCACTAGCTCTTTTGGATAGCTATTTGTTTTCTTTTCAAGGATCATCTGCAAGAAGGAAAAGTTGATTAGACTTAAAACAGCTGTACAGCAGAGCAGAGCAATAAAACAGAAATAAAGAGAAAGGTAGGAAAATCACTAATTTCACAAGATAGGCAACAATTACAAATGGAGAATTAAAATAGAGTTAGAAAGAAGAGAGAAATATAAAGCTCAGTGGAAAGAAAAAATAGGCTAAAGAATTAAGGAAAAAAACTACTTGGATGAACAGACAATGTCAATATATCCTGAGGAAGAACACTACTACATAACATAGGCAATAGCCTTGGAAAAGAGAAAAATCTGCATGCCAGAAGGTTAACACAATGCCATTTCTTACCATCCCTTTCTAGATTTTTCCAGATCTATTTTTAAATAGTCAAGATGACATTCATTTCAATCATTGCATAATCTTTCCTTACCTAATTCTGCATGGCAATTATCTAGCATCAAAATCGTTGGCAAGCTTTTCAGGTTTTGGTGTAACCTGCTCACTTTCCTCTAATCACAGTCCTCATCAATTTGACACACTATCACTAAAATTATTCAAAACTATGCATTTATTTCTCAGCCTTGTGCCTAGGTTATCTGTGAGGAATCTGTTGTCCTTTATGATCCTTTTTCTAATTACGCTCACTATCTATCCACTTGACTCGGTCATCTGCTCAGGGCTTCTAAAATACTTTCATGGTAAATTTTATTAGATTCCTTCTATTGTTGAAGACCTGAACAGAAAATTTATAAATATGTCCAACTTTTAAAATTTTAACTTTATTTTTTTCTATTTTAATTGCTGTTAACAGAAGCAATAACATTGTTCCTTGCTCTCTGGGAAGGTGAACACATTTTCTCGATCTTGTATTTTCTAACCTCCAAGCGTCCTTTTTTGGTCTTCTGTTTACACAACCAATCTTCCCAGCTGTTAGCTTTATTCTGCTCTCTGCAGAACTTCCTCTACTCTCTCATCTTTCCTTTCTCTTACTTTTTTTTTAAGCAGATCTAATCTACTCATGGCTTTTCATTCATGATCTACTTCTCCAATTTCACATTCTTCCAAGTCAGCTTAAAACTAACATCAACTTTCTCACTCCATGACCGTTTCTGCCTTGTCACTTGAAGTTTTCATTTTCCTTGTTTTTTTTTTTTAATCTGCCTCTCTTTCCATATTACGTAAACTTGCTAGGAAAGTTCAGCTTTTATTTTCCTTTTGATCTTATCCTATATATCAAATAGCATCTAAAATACTATCTTTCCATTTCCTCTGCACAACTAAAGGTTAAGACCTTCAGCTTTTATTTCTTCACTTGATTATTGGAAAAAGGAAAAAAAAAGAAATGGTAAAAGTGCAATTTTCCCATGTTAATACATTCAAAATATGGCTCCTAAAGAATTGCTGTTTTTTATTATTATTTTTGCATATCAGCTACACATTAAATTCACTTCCTTGCTTTTCTTTCTATTAGTTTTAATTCTTCTGGAATCTGATAATCCTGTTTACATGGTACAGCATGACTTGGCACTTGACTACTCTTTAGCACCAAGCTGCAGTATTTCTCAGCTA